AGAGATCAAGATTCTTCATTCAATTTTCAAACCTGGTAACATCACATATTCCATAAAAACTATTCTGAAGGTTCTGCTTTATTCAGCAAGTATTTGCCAAAGCCACACTCAAATGTAAATGATGCTGCTCAGTGAGTTTATAGCTAACTCATCTCTGAGGAACAGCAAAAAAAATAAATCAAGAATTAGAGGACTGGCAAGTGCACATGACTGAATGAGCAGTCACTCTAGCTACGGATCCTCTTTTCCCCCGGCAGATAGAAAAAAAAAAAAGGAAGTTAGTACAAGTTGTGCTCAGTCCTCACGGAAAACTTCAAATTCAGCATTTCCACCGCAACCTTGAACCAGCAAATGGAGCTTCAAATCAATAGCCAACTATGTAAACTCTCATTCCCACTTAGGACAAACAGGCTGGTTCATCTACCACAACTAGGAAGCACGTGGAAGGCTCTTCTAGTCATGCTGGCAGTCGATTTTCTACAGCATATGAGACAGCTTAGTAAATTTGTGGTCTGACAGTTAAGAACAGTCCCTCTCTATCCAACTCTTAACCTTCCAAACTGGTCACATCAGCTCACCTTTTACCTTCTGCCAGTACTGTAGTATACTTGATAGTGCAATGAGTACATTTAGTGAACTGGCAAAAAGATACTCAGGTTTTTTGTATGGGATGAATTTTCTACTGATTTACTTCTCTCAACTGGCTCATCCTGGGACCAGGCAGATGTGTGCAGCTGAAAGTGTTTAAAGGTAGGTTTCACAACCAGCTTAAGTTAAGCTAAAACTGCCCTGCCATCAGAAAGTGTGGTCACATTCATGGTCGTGGCTGTACATTCTCCATTACCTCCTACCAGTTCTCACAACAGCGCAGTAATGGTTTTCAATTAGATCGGGTCACAGACTCACAAAGCAAGAAACATCACAACTCACCTACTGGCCACACAATTGCAAGAGCTAACCCCAGGAAGGGTAAGGGACTGTCTTTGGGTTCCACCGTGGCTTCAGACCAGCTTAAACTCAATCACAAAACTGTACCCTTCAAAGCCAGCAACACAAGTGTTTTCAAAGCACACTCGGATGTCCTCCCTCTCTTGTTACTGCGCTCCCTTCTTGAGTCATCTTCTTCTTCCCCTGGTCTTGAGCAGCCTTCCATGCTCTGACCACAGCTTTCCCACTACCCTCCAGTTCTGGTACCTCCCCCCTTACAGACACAACCAAGGAAACACTTCTAAAGACCTCAGGGCATCCTACAAGCGTAGGAAGAAATTACTAGATTTCAAAACTGCACAAGACAAATTGCAGTCTAATGTTACACCACGTACTGGGCATGACAGGCCTGAGGGTTCAATTCAGCCAGACTCCCTCTGACTTCAGAAAAAGCTTTCGACTTTGTTCCAGAGTCTCATTTGTAACAGACCCCAGTGTTTCTCTCAACTACAAGGATGCTATGAAAGTCAAATCTTTATCTCTGCTGCTTTTCAAAGACAACATGAGGACAGTGTGCATGCTGAAATATCAATTACTGAGGCTGCTTGCATCTAAACATGTCAGTATCAATGACAACATTATCTAGTTTTCAAGCAAACAGCAAACATTTTCCTCTTTAAATTCGTAAACTGGATTCTGCAAAGTTAAAATGTAACCCTCTTCCACATTTATAACATCTCGTTACTTTCCCAAGCAAACAGGTAAACACAGTGAAACAAATGCTGTTGAAAGACTAAAATTCTGTGAAATCTGAGAGAAATAAAGTCTGTGCTTAATAAGTAAAGGCAAACTGAGTCAACACAAATTTAGGTCAAATCAGACATTTAGCGCTGATGCTTTAAGAGGGCCTGTTCCAGAAAGTTAAAAATCAACTACTGCCCAAAACAGAAGAAAATATGTAAAGAAAAACTGTAAATATTTGAAATCTATTTTTAAGTGTTTTACTAGATACCAGAGAAGCCACAATGTTACCACTGAGAAAAAGCCCACAGTGGTGAAAAACTGCATAGTTTACAAGGGAAGTGAGAACAACCATAAAGAAAATCTTGTAAAAATTGCAAGAGAAGCATTGACAATGAGTGCGACAAATTAGAAAAATATGGAAAACTGAAAGGCAAGCAAAAGGATACAAGACATCCCTATCCCTAAAAGGGCAAGACGCATCCTAACAACACAAGAAATGGACAAAAGTTGTCAACACTACAACATAAGAAGGATAGAACTGTCAATAAAAACACAATACCACAAAATTTAAAAATGTTCAATAAGTGCAGAACAAAAACAAAAGCTGAGGGAAAAGCCAGAAAATTTAAATAACATCCTGATGTCATGATAAAATGCTTTCTAATATAACAACAAATATTATTAAACTTCTTTAAAGTACAAGTTGTTTAGGTCAACCATATAGGCTGAAAGACGTAAATACTGTTTTTCATTAAGCCTGAAGAAACTCCAGTGATCTGGATAAAAGGTAACATGGGTTATAAATGGTTACCATTTTAAGTTATTGCTGGTTTTTCTAGGTTTGATATACAGTTAAAAAAGCAAAGGCCAGTAATGCTAAGGACTGTGGCTTCACAGAAAAATAAACCCAGCACTTTCAGTTGATAAAGAAGTAGTCATGGCCAAACACAGTTAATGTCCAAATGGTTTGATTTAGTATTATCTGATATTTTGGTTAAGAAATTAGAATATAAAGAAAGTTAATGTGTTTTATCCTGCATGTATCAAAAACTAAAGATGTACAAGCTTTATTCTTATGATTCATTTTGTGACTATTATACATACTGTCCTAGTTAAGGACTATGCTGGCCAAAAAAGGCTCTTGCTCTTTTCAGTAGCTCACATTTTTAAAACCTCAAGGGAGTCTTAATACGAAAATGCTTTTGAGAGGGCACTGAGCATCCTACAGAGCTTACATTTTGACCCCACCCTATTTTATGGTTGCCTGCAACCTAGGAGTAAACAACAGTTAGAATTAAGTTTTACTGTGAAGGGAAAAAGGGGGGTAAATAATACTCTATTTCTGACACAACAAAGCTTATATTACTTGGGGAAGGTTGGGAGAAGCCAGAATAAGGTTTTTAAAATACCACAAAAATGAAGACCCATACAGGAAACTATCCAGAAAGCACCAAAGAGGCCTGGAAGTAGATAATCATCTGGGCAGAAGCTTGCAGCCTCATGCAGTTCCCAACAAGACCAATACAATGGTCTACACAAATGGGGAACGATGAGTAAGAATGTGAAAGTTACTTTGCTACCGCACCTGGCGCTGGTGTGACTATAGGCAGAGTGCTCTGTTCTCAAGTTGACTACTACGACAGTGATTGCACTCGGAGCAATGCCATGAAAGCACTGAAAGAATGAAAGAACGTGTCTTAATGAGAGACTCAAAAGGGTCAGTAGGACTGCAGACCGTAACACCAGTGTAGGGATCTGATAATCATCAGCACACTAAATAAATGCAGACAGACGTGTATTTGGATAGATATCTCTCAAGATGTAATGAACAAACAAATTAAATTCAGACTAGAAACAGGTATAAGCCTTAAACAGACTAATTAAATTTGGGGGCAACTTGCCGAGCTATACAGTATTATCTGTTACTGTAGGATTTTGCTTATTTTCTTTTTTACTTTGTAAGTAGTATGCTGGCTATAAAAAGAATTAGTTCATTTACAAACCCTCAAAGCCTGCATTAGAAGGTTGGATTAAATCTGCAGACCCCTCTGGACTCAAACGATGAAGCTAACCACAATACATGAAGCAAGACTCAACTTTTGATAGTAAGCATGCTAATTTGTCTGAGACTTCATGGTTCCATCTTCCATTTTAAGTAATACAATAAACAATAACAAATTTTCAAATGAACTCACAAATGTAAGCTTAGCCCCCGACTAAAATACAGAGTAAGACCCATACCTTTACAGGACAACAAAGAACAATCTGCACCCCAAAACAGCCCCAGCCATATCAACAGAATCCCACAGGGAATAGAGTCAGACTGTAAAATCAGGCCCTTCACTGATATTTTAAACAGAAGAAATTAGAGCCAAAGCTATCTACAACAAGTTTACCTATTTTCTTCATGCTACCACCAAGGAATAGAAGGAGATATTGTGCCTCTAACTTCCCAGGTAGTTACAAATTGAACCACAGGGAGAGAAACAAAGATAAAAATGAAGGCTTCCAGCTGGGATAATGCCTGCCAGAGCCCATAACTCTTAAAATTTTCTTCCAACTTTGCAGGAAGATTTTTCCCTGACTTCAGTAAGGAAAAAAAAAAAAAAAAAAAAAAACCCAAAACCCACAACCAAAAAAAAAAATCCCAAATGAACCCAAGCCAAGGCTTTTCTAATGCCAAAAGAAAACTGTAATAACCAATAACTTCTATCTCTCTCCAACATATCCCACACAACCTAACAACACTGGTGAATGCACTACAAAACAGTAACAAAACAAATCTTCCTCCACAGTAATAGTTCTTACCGTTCAAGAAGAGATGCAGCCCTGAACAGCTGAAATACCTTTGGCAGTTCAGGCCATATTATTAGGCCACATACCAAGAATATGTTCCAAACAAAAAGAAGCAATACAGACAAAATCCTTTTCTTAAAGATTCTGCCCCCCACCCCTGCAGATTTAAAAATAAAGCATCCAAGCCCATCAGCACCTACCATAAAACAGTCAGGAAGTTGTTCTGGTTTAGAAGATCCAAGGAATTTAAAGCCAGAAGGCCCATTAAAATCATTTAGTTGAAGGATAACAAGTACAAACAGTATGAGTAGCATTCCCATACCGGGGTTACACTGTATAAATGGAAGCAGAGCTTGCCATTGTAGCTGTCACCAGAAACCTGAACACTAGCAAACAAACCAGCAGGGAGAATTCAGCCCAGTGTTACTGTGCCACCCTAGGGTGCCTGGCATCTCTTATAATGCAGCTACCGTATCACACTGCAGGGCAGCCAACACCATGTCCACCCCAAGACCTACACCCACAAGACTCACTCTTTGCTCATCCATGCACTCCACAATCCTGCTGGAGAATTCATGTATGCGAAACAGGCAGCACATCAGCCACAGAACCAGCCGCTCCAACATAGTCTGCACGCCCCTGTATTCACGGATTTGAAACACCACCCAGTTATCCATGTGCAGAATTCAAAAGCTTCCATTTGGTCTCTAGAAAGACATCCATGCTCAAGCTGAAAACATCAAGAGCTGTACAATTCACCGTTGCCCTCCTTTCTTCGTTACAGTAATTACTCACCCTCGCCATTTACCACTTGAGCTTTTCAGTTTGACCCTACTCAGCTTCATTTTCCAGCCAATGGATTTTGTTAACTATAAACTGAATAAAGCGCTTCATCTCAGTATGAAAATATTTACATTGGGGAAAAAAAAAGGTGCTTCTCACTATTTCTGATAATGTGAACAAGGTTTTTTCAAGCCTTTCACTGTAAGGCATTATTAAAATAATTCTTAACTCTTTTCCACACTCTTCATTGTTTAACAATGGCTTTTAAAGGCAAAATTTTGTCGTTAGCATTACCACATACTCAGCCAAAAACCTCCTTATTCCTAATCAGTAAACCACCTTTAAAAAAAAAATAATCAAGGAATATATTACATATTTTTTAATCAAAGCATTATACTGGAAACTTTTGCTGAACTGCTTGTTCCTATTTATACCCTACCAGTCAATACATTTCAGGTTACAATCCCATGCCTATGTTCCTTACCTTCAATGCATTACTTTGAATATGGCTGCATTAAGGTGCACCTTGTTTTATTGGCATAACTTCACATAAATTCTGGATGGTTTTGTACTTGTTCTGCCCTCCCATCTTGTTCATCTGCAAGTTTTATTAATGACAATGTTGTTATTACTTCCAAATCATTCATGGAAAAAAAAGTCTTGAGTCTAGTAGATTAACTCCTCTAACACCTTCAGGAACAACGACATTCAGGAATAATCCTCTCTAGCAGCTACTTCCCAGATATATCAGTTACCCAGCAGTTCTCCATCCATTTATTATAGACTGTAAGATCATTCTATGAGTATTACATGAGCAATCGATGTTATTTGTTTTACTTCACCACTAAACTGGTATTTTTACGCTTTGCTGTTCCACTAGTAATCTTACAACAACGCTAGTAGAAAAAAGTGGGATCTACACTGTCATACTAAATTGAACTTGTGATAAGAAGAAAGAATAAATATCCTCTGAAACAAGAGTCTATTATGTAAGTTCAGCTTGATTTCACGTGGGAGGGAGAGAGGGGGGGGAAGGTCCACAAACTCAGCCAGCAAGAGAGTACACAAAACCCACCAGAAGCAGTCCCATCATCAATTCACGTTCAGAACATGCACATTTTCAGCAGTGTTTCTACCTCTTTGTACCAAAACTACTTGAATCACTTTAAGATGAGCCTTTCACAAACAAATAAATAAATAGCTCTTCCAGCACTCCAGTATGCAAGTAAATTTTCACTGTTCCAAAGACCATCTTTCTTACAACATTAATGCTGTGTTCACAGTATCTCATGGCAAAATGCAAAGCCACAGAGACCATATAAAAACAAATACTTCCCTTCCAAAAAAGCCCCTCAAAAAACTTTGAAAAGTAACCTAAGTTAGTCAAAACAAAAAGACAGTAAGCACAAATCTCATTTAAAAAAAAAAAAAAAAAAGGCACAGAAAAGAAATACCTAAAAAAGATGCATGACAGGTAACAGTAGCGTGAAACATAAAAAGCTGGAAAAGATTTTGACAGTCCTATAAAAGGCATCAGTTTTGTATGTATACAAACGCAAGAACTGACTGAATGTTCCAACGTCACTACTTACATAAGGGCATGGTGCTCTTTCCTTAAAAAGTGGAAATCACTGAGTATTGAGGCCCCTGACCTTCAAAAATGACTGAACAAAGATGCACTAAATTGTTCAGTGGGCAAGTCTGTGACAGTAAGACTGCTACAGTACAGAACCCTCAAGCTTTTAACAGACTCCAGAAATGCTCTTTTAACAGCCAGTCTTCACAAACATTAAAAACATCCTTCTCTCTTAAAGCTTATCTGCACAAAGGGATTTTAAGGACTAAAGGAACACCCACTGAAATCCATGCAAATATGACCCTGTGAATAAGATATAACCAGATACTCAGCATTTCCAGAAAAAATCAAATTAAAAACCCTCAAGACTAGTTAAGACAAGCAAAGTTTATCGCGTATTAAAAGATTCAGGTTGGTGTTACAACACACAATATATATTAACTTCCTTCCTCATCTTTTGTACACACACTCAACTTTACATACCAAAGGAACGGCGTAAGGTTCTACCAGATTGCCTAACCAGTGAAAATCGCCAATTTAAACGGAGACATTTTTGTTCACTATATAATATTTGCTCAAATTGAACAAATACCAATCTTCAATCTTTAAAACACAATGGTTTTCTAACAGCCTGTAGATACCTTTTATTCCATTTTATAGTTTTAGACTGCCCATCTGAAGTTTCCCCAAGTTAAGAACATTTTCTTTCAAAGAATATCAACATCCAACAATCTGGATTGTTACTGAAAACTTCTGTCACTTCTGCAAGACATCAAGACACTGCAAATGAGGGTACTTCTCCAGTTAGTCTGAACAAACATGTTGCATCGCTCTTTGCACATCACTTAAAAAAAAAAACAAAAACAAGAAAAAAAAAAATCAAGACACTTATTTAGGGTGCATCGCTTTGCTATTTAACCTTCAGAACAGACAGGTCTATTTTAAAGCCGTAAGTGAGCACAGTTTGGAGAGGTAGAGAAGAGTGGGTAGGATACACAATCACATATAGAGGCTAACAGAGCCTCTTCAGTCATCAAGAAAACTAAAACTGCCTTAAAGATATTGTTTAAGGAAAAAAAGAGTACCATCTGCTTAGCAAAAACTGGAGCCTGGCATACACACTAATCTTTGTCGTAGGCTGAAAAAATCAATTCTTACAATCCTTCATGCATCAGGTGACAGGTCCACACGTAAAAGGTTTTCTAAACTGTTTAAAATACGTCTCCAAACAATCACACTAGTCCTCAAGAATGCAGGCATGCTGCTGACAAAGGTGGGTGGCACAAAAGAAGGGTAAAAATATGACACGGAACGACCTCTGCATGTTACCTGCAAACATTCCTCCCACCGCCTAGCCAACCCACTGGAAGAGACAGACAGTTTGCTTTCAAAACAAGCCCCACGCCACCCGGGGAGCGCTGGGCTGGATCGGGCCAGGCCCGACCTGCTGAC